TCAGTTTAATAACATGACTTTAAAAAAACTATAGTATCGGTACGATGTCAGAAATTCGTGATATAAGAAGCTTGTACCATCCCATCATAGCCGAGTAGTTAAGCGTGGTAAAAGTGTTCATATTTTTATCTGATTTTTTTTCCAACAAACTGTACAGTGTAATAAAGTAGTCAAGTACAATACTACTGGGGTCTAATTGAGTTCTTCGATATGCACGATAGATTTCGAGATTTACTGTCATAATATACCTTTGAACATCAAAAAGATAACTTTCTGTTACGTTTTCGTCATAAGATTGGTGGTGTGATGGTAAATCTCGAACCAAATTGCGTACATCGAAGCACGCAATAAGACCTCAGGTAACGCCCATGGAAGAGTAGATAAGGACCTTGACCATAGTGCAGAAAATGTTGGGTTCTACAATGAGTGGGATCTTAGTTAAAAAGAAATTAAATAAGATTTAAAAAATTCAAAAAATGTGGTGTGGTGATAGGGTGTGCTGTGATGTCCTTCTGAGATGTGAAGGAAACCGGCATGGGGGGGGGGGGCAAAGAGAGAGAATCAAGGAAAATCCACTTCTGCCACACTTTTTCTCAACAATGACATTTCTCAACAGTTATGTAATACACTTTTACATCTTAAACGTAATCATAAGAAGTCAATGGACGACAAATAATATTTACAGACAGTTATTCTTTATAAGTGGATATATCAGACCCAACGATGTACTAATGTATGAACTTGACACTAACAAATCACTTAATTACCAATTATAAATAATCTTTTCATTAGAGATTTGAGCNCAATCACAGCTCGTTCTAACTTCGGCCGTATTATGTTTCTGACCTGTTTGGTTTCGCGCCCGAGCGCAACAGCCGAGCGAGGCGCTGCGTGCACTTCCGCCACGCTCACGGGCTTCCACCTTGCCGGGAGCCGCCTCTGCGTACGGGCACTTGAGCACTGCTCTCCGAGACGACCAGACGCTTGTCCCGCTCACACTCACGACGCCTCTCACGCTGTAATCAACCCGCTTGTACAATATCAAATAAAGTGTTTTACCAAACACTTACAGTAATCTTTTAACTAAAACATTGGAAGATTCCTTTAAATCATATAAATAGCATTTGACGTGATTTTTTCATAAGGTCACATGATAAATATCGATTTTTTAAAATTTAAACATACATAAAATAATGGTACAGTCAAACGCACTGCAATGTTCGTGGGTATTTTTTATGCTATTTCAATATGCGTTTGACGTTTGAATGAAAGCTGTAGAAAAAACCTATGTGTGACGAACGTCTTGAAGGGACATACACTGGCATGTAATACTACTCTATTAAAGAAAGCAATACTACAGGATGGATTTTTTTTAATTTCTTTATACAAAATTACATTTTGGGTATTAAATATTGACTAGAAATAAGTGTGGGAGCGTATGTGATAGATGTAAGGATAATGTTACAGATGTTATTAGCATAGGAAGTAGAAAGTTGTTTTGAATTCATCGGAAGATTCGATGAAATATGTAGTCTTGGACTGGCCATCTGATACAGAAATTATATGGTATTGTAAAGTTATATATCGTTTATAATTGTTAATTTCTCGAATTTTGAAATATAAATTAACACTGTATACACTCATTCCCACCATAACTGCATTACCTTCGTACACAATATTGTTTCACAGAAAATTTTTTTACACTTGTGATACTGTTGGCCAAATAATTTCATAGAAGTATAATTTCATTTTTGGGTAACCAAACCTTCACTGTCCACTGATGTTTTTATGACATGATTTTGTTCCTCATTCTAACGCCATTAAAAAAAAATTCCAACGATTTTTTCAGATACTTTTTTTGACGATACATTATTTCCTCTATGTAAAAAAAATTATTAAATACATTATCATTAGATTAAAGAAGTTCTTGAAGTAATTATTCAAAAAGCCTTGATCCCATGAAAAAATATTTAAAGTATAAAGTTCACCCTACAAATAAAGTTGTTTAATAAACATCTTTTAGGTAAAGACACCAAAATCATCTACTTAAATAATAGTAAATCTGTTCTCCTGACAATTTTTTAGTGCTGTAGTTAAAAGCTATAACAATCTAAAACTTTCATAAGCCTATTACTGATATCGTTGATATTATGATTATATTTAAATGTGATATTTTTAAATTCATTTGATCGAAAAAGTATCTCAAATGTTGTTGAAAAATGTATTGTAAACATCACAACGAACATTTTATCGTTTGTACTGTTAATAAAGGACCAAGTGAAATTATAGACTAAAAAGCATAGGGCTAAAACTTTAAATTTATAAAATAAACTTGATGAAAAAAAATTAATTAACCTTTTTTGTTGCAAAAACTTAAAAATTTTTGCAAAATTTTTGTTTCATTTGAGTATTGTGGTATCAAAATCAAATATAAAAATATTCATGGGGGAAAAAAAAATATGGTGATTGATGGGATTCGACCCCATGTTAGTTGTAATCGGGAAAAAAAGGAAAAAAAGGAATTAATCAATTGATTAAATTACAAAAAAATGTGTGTGCACTCGGTGCATCACAAGGGGTGCGAAGAGGTGAGGTCGTTCGCAAAGAGGGGTATAATCTGAGACAAGATTCTCTATACCCCTAGACGGGTCACGTACCATCGGTATCTCCTGGCAACTCAATGTTCAATATGACTAGCGCCTTCATACGCGCTTAACCACTCGACCACCGAGCTCTTGTTTTCCAATTCGTTAAATAGTCGATTTGAAGCAAGCATAGATAAAAAATGCCATTAAGCAAGACACTTGTTAATGTGTTAATAGCTTAGCGTTTGTAGTCAGTATATCTATATGTCCGACCAACGTGTCTGCAATCGGTCATATAGGTATACTGGTAACGTGCTAGAAGTATTTTTAAATCGTTCTCGAGTTCCTTGCTGGAGGGCGCTGTTTTTATATGTTACTCGAAGTTAGCTGACGGGTAATAATGTGTAAACACAGCAATGGATATACCTCTAAAGTATAATCACAATCTACCATCTTCAACCTTATTATAAAAAAAACCACATTTTGGAGCCAATCCAATGCTATAAATGACACATTGTGGACACTAACTTAAAGTTTCTACACTCGCTTATGCGGAAAAAACGAAGTATGTATTGTGATCAACGTCAGCTTCTACAGCTAAACAGTACGGAAAGCGTAACACGTGATTAATTGAGAAAATATTTTGTTCATTAAATCGATTAAAAAAAATAGGCTCAAATCTCTAATGAAAAGATTATTTATAATTGGTAATTAAGTGATTTGTTAGTGTCAAGTTCATACATTAGTACATCGTTGGGTCTGATCTATCCACTTATAAAGAATAATTGTCTGTAAATATTATTTGTCGTCCATTGACCTCTTATGATTACGTTTAAGGGGGCTCCTACGACTACTGCCGAGGTCAAAGACAAACGAAAAATAAAGTTTTGTTTTTCAATAAACAAATGTGTCTGAAAATTATTATGATATTTTCAATAACGTATGAAGTGGGAAAAATGATATTTATGTGTGTAGTTTAACTTTGTACAAAAAATTAATTATTGTTTTGACCAGTCTAGTGCATACGGGGGTACCCTACTCGTGTTGGTGTAGTATAGCGATGTAATATATAGGTATATGGTATATATATGTCGTGAACAAGTACGTCTGCTACCCACGTGACCTCGTGACCTCCCGGACACTATTTATTTATTTCCATCACAAATATCTCGCTAAAATGGTCCTTTATCCACAATTTTTAATACAGCATATTACAGAGAAAGACTTCATCTACAAAACGTATATTTTCAGTCTGCTGGGACATTTAATTTAGGTTTATTATAAACGAAAACAAATTGTTTTTCCCGCTGCCCCATAGGAACACTTGCTAATAGTTACAACTTTGAGCTCAGATTTCTTAAAATTTTGACCCATTCGAAATATTATTTAGACCACCATTCAATTCAGTAGACTTTTATTTACAAGAAATGATATATCTTTGTTTGGGGACTATCGTGAAAGAGCCCCCTTAATATGTAAAAGTGTATTACATAACTGTTGAGAAATGTCATTGTTGAGAAAAAGTGTGGCAGAAGTGGATTTTCCTTGATTCTCTCTCTTTGCCCCCTCCCCCCATGCCGGTTTTCATTACATCTCAGAAGGACATCACAGCACACTCTATCACCACACCACATATTTTGAATTTTTAAAATCTTATTTCCTTTTTTTCAACTAAGTTCCCACTTATCGTTGAACCCAGCATCTTCGGTCGGACGCGTCTATATAGCCACGGCTTTTTGGGCTAGGTTAGAACAGCAGATTTTATCACGGTGCCTTATGGGTACATATACGTGCATTCCTTAACGCTACTCAGGGGCGTAACCCAATTCCCCTAAGATTTAGCGAAAGTTACCATGGTTTTTATTTTTTTTAAAAAGTTCTTTACGTAGTTTTCGACAATTTGGGTACTAAAGTTATAAAATGATTTCAAAATAGTCATGAACATAAAAGAATACATAAGTATTTTATATGTAATGTATCAGCTAACAATATTAATTACAATTTTTTTGTTATGTTTCAGATGACAACGATGCAATATCCTTCATTTGCACTTCTCTTTAAAGGTCCCGAGGTATTCTAAAAGAGGTATACTTCAGCACACATTTATTTAAATATGATGCAAGTATTGCGATGCACAATTGGCCTCCTTCTTAATTTTTTGGACTCTTGAAATGCTTTATGCTAATAACCATTAAAAATAAAAAGTTTAAAAACGTACTTGAAATTATTTGAAGGTTATCTGCCAGAAATGTTAGTTGGATAAAACTTGAAGATTAACTGTCATCTAGAGAGCCTCATGAACAGTTAATAATAAAGTAAATCAAGAAGTACCACCATAATGAAGATATGTCGGAAAATCTATACAACTCTTCTGCAAACGATACTTACCCCGACACATCGTTTCAGCTTGACTGCGATGTTAACATGCCAATATTCTCGTTACTACATCAGGTCCTTTACACAATCATTTGTGTGGTTGGTCTACTGGGTAATACTTTGGTCATCTACGTGGTATTACGCTTTTCCAAAATGCAAATAGTTACGAATATCTACATCCTTAACCTGGCCCTGGCCGACGAGTGCTTCTTAATTGGCATACCATTTCTGGTTACAACCATGAGTCTCAAGGTTTGGACATTTGGTAAAATCATGTGTAAAGTTTACATGACAACGACCAGCATTAACCAGTTCACGAGTAGTATATTTTTATTAATCATGAGCGCTGATCGGTACATCGCTGTATGCCATCCAATCTCTTCTACAAAACACCGGACACCATTTATTGCTAAAATAGTGTCAATTTCGGCATGGACACTTAGCGCTGTTTTTATGATACCCATTTACATGTACGCAAACGAAATGGAAACTCAAAAGGGCTAAATGAGTTGTAACATATACTGGCCTGATGATCAGGGAGGACAGAAAACCTTTACTTTGTACAGTTTTTTTCTAGGTTTTGCTGCACCCTCCACCCTTATTTCAATTTTTTATTTTTTGGTTACCAGAAAATTAAGGACAGTGGGCCCAAAAAACAAGTCAAAGGAGAAGAAAAAGTCTCATCGCAAAGTTACGAAACTAGTGCTCACTGTCATAGCTGTATTCTTTATTTGTTGGTCACCATATTGGTTTACTCAAATGGCATTAATTTATACAGAGCCAAATCAATGCCAATCTCATATTAGTATTACTATTTTTTTATTGGCTGGTTTTCTTAGCTACTCTAATAGCGCAATAAATCCAATACTTTATGCTTTTCTTAGCGAAAATTTCAAGAAAAGTTTTCTTAAAGCTTGCACCTGCATAACAGGACAGGACATTAACGCTACTTTACACATGCAGAATAGTGTATTTCCGCGTAAGACTAAAGCCAGTGTTAAACAAATTCAAAATAATGATCCCATAGTATCAGGTACTTTGAAAAATGAAGATGAAGATGAAGATAAAGAAAATGAACTGGGACTTTTGGTTCGCAAGACCTCAACGACGACATTAACAATGACATCTCGGTCCAACATTACTGATATAAGTGAAGTGAAGGATTTTTCAAGTCAGTATCAGGTTAAAAGTGTTGTAAAAAATCAACTTAATCAGCAGACGAAAGTGTAAAAATAAATATGCACACTTAGGGTGGTGTAATGAACATCCCTTGAAGGCACTTTATGACACTGTTAACAACACAATAACCGTGTAGTTAACAATCAAACTTTATAAACTTTCATTGGTCTATGTGTTACAGTGACTAAGCTCAAATGTCGTAAAAAAAGTGCCCGTAAGTAAAAAATCATGGGTTTCATAGTTTACGTGCTGTAAATGAGAACATTTTTATGACACCAAAATTTGAATTTTTCTTACATTTAGTGAATTAAAAAAAAAAAGATTTTTAAAAATGAGACAAAAATAACTTGCATTCAAATGTTTTAAGAATATACCGAGTATAACGTCTGTACCTAAAAGTATTGTAACTATTGGCCAAGCTCGTAATTGAAGTATTGATATTGATTTTTGTGAATTGAGTGAATAAAATAAGCAAACTTTTTTTATAAGTAATTTCATCATAATCGTAAAGAACGTTGATGTACTGTATAAAAACCGTAATTTTTGTAAGGGAAATGTAGTAGAAAAAAGGCAACAAATCATATAGAAAATCTATAAAACGCGTAACCTAATAAGGAAACATATTTACATGTACGAGTGTAATACCAAAGATATTATAGAAAACAACACGTTAAAATATTATAAATGTGTATTATTGTCTTTCAATTTTTGTTCTCTGTGGTTTAAATACTAAGTGAGGTATATATGTCAAGTTTTTAAAGAGTCGTTACCTTCTTTTCTTAAAACAGCTAGAGGTCTAACAAAATCAGTAACCAAAACGTTTGATAGTTACTTATTGCAATTCATTACCAACTATTCTCTTAAAAAATTAAAGTTTGTCTCTATAAATCTTGTCATTTACTATCTTAGTAAGAGTTTTTTTTCTACCACATTTTTAGAAAAATCATAAACTTTGTGATTGAGTAATTCAGTAAAGAAAAAATGTTCATCTAATCAGATTCCAATCCCACGTAATTTTGCACAGTCTTTGTTTTTCTAAGTAATGAGAACGAATACGTCAATTAGCATTGATGTCATTATGACAAAAAAAAGACTTACATTATACAGTCAATCAATAAAAGGAGACAAAATTTTAGTAACATTAAGTGACGGATGTGACCTAAGGCGATGAAATCTTTGTTGCAAATACGATAGTGGGAATATATGTTCTCCTAATAAATATTTAAAGTTAAATAAAAACCTTAAAAATAGGAACTTCAAAGAAATATAACTCATAAAAGTTTGATTTGTAATTATTTTTTAAACAAAGATGATTTTGTTAATTGCTATTTCGTAATGTTGTAACAATTTTTTTTTTTTTTTTTTTTTTTTGACCTAAATAGAACTGAATAAAGTGTCTTAATTGCTTTATTTTATGATGTTGGATACTTAAATAAAATAATACAATATTGTTATTAGTTTTTTACATAATAAATCTAAATTTCATAAGAGAAAAAAAATTTGACAGTATTTAATGTTATCAATTAAATACATGATTGTATTGTAAATGTTATAAAATTTGATCGTACAACATAAATTTTTTAATTACGATGGACTTTTCTCCTATTCGCTTTTACTCCATATACTTTAGGGATTAATAAACACAATATAAACTATAGTTAGTCATAGCACTTTATTTCCTGGTGCCGATTTCAAATCTATTAACTGTACCAAGTTTCGCTTTGCTATTCATAACAATGTAATTGAGCTATTATTTGTTTGTTGTGATCTCTACTTGATGAAGATTTATTTTCAAATAATGGTATGAGAAATAATTAACACAACTACTTAACGTTTATTATTCAAAAACCCTTACACTTTGATTTATGTAAAAACATAGACACGTAACAGCTGCTTCACTACACTGTTTATGTTTTTGCATGAATAAAAGTGTGGAGATTTTTGAATAATAAACATGTTGTGTTTATAATTTCCTATACCAAAGTTTAAACCATTACTTTAATTTTTAAATGAACAAACCAAAACTCTAATAAAGAATATTTTCTGTTCAGAAATCGTTGTCAATTATTTATTATCATTTTATTTATTTCAGAATTATAATTATAAAATAAAATTTTGTGCAGTTTCTTTTGTAAAAGTCTCTCCTCAGAAATACAAAACAGAAAATGTACGTAAACAAAGTCAAATTAGCACAAACATAATATATAAATCACTGTTACAAGCACGTCAGTAAATGATTATTGCAAAATAGAAAAATTTTGTAAGGCAGGATAAATTCTCAAGTATAAATATAAAAGTACTAGCGGCCCCCCGTCTCGGCTTCGCCCAAGACTTACTAAATGGAACACCGTCATGTGTTAACATGTTATGTGAAATGTTTTCAGTTAGAAATTTTACATCTATTCCTGACACTTCTCAGAACAAAAATCTTCTTATTAAAAATATATTTGTTCGCAATTCATACAGTTTATTTGGTCAAATAATAAGTTGTATAAAATACCAAAAAATGTGATTATGCTCAAAAGTACCGTGCATTCCTTATGCCATAAAGTAATCATTGGCCCTAAAGAATTGCGAACAAATATATTTTTAATAAGAAGATTTTTGTTCTGAGAAGTGTCAGGAATAGATGTAAAATTTCTTACTGAAAACATTTCACTTTACACGTTAACACATGACGGTGTTCCATTTAGTTAGTCTTGGGCGAAGCCGAGACAGAGGGCCGCTAGTTCATTAATATACAATTAATACAGTCGTTTTGATCATCATATTTTCAATGATTATACTTTATGTGACAATTTATTTGAAAAAAAAAGTACTCACGTATTATTTTACAACTACTTATTTTCCAACAACGTACATGAGAATGAAGCATGAAAAATTTTTTTGTAATAGTGTGCGAAAAATGGGTGTTTTTTACATTTTTTTCAGTATAAAAAATCAAATTTTGATCTCAGTACTTTTTAATTTTATCTATTTGAATTCAAATGTCTGTACATAATTATTATAATATATTGATAATTAAAAATTGTGGTCATGAAAGAGTCAGCACGATCTGGATGAATTAGGATCTGCAAACTGCTTTTATCTCGCCTAATTAACCATATCATGCATAGCTGACAACATTGCAAAGGAAAACTTTATAATGGATGAGAAATTACACGTCCAGTAAATATGCTATGGAAGTATTCTCTGAACTTTAGACATTACTCTGGCTTTCGTTTGCTTCATTTTCTTTTTTTATTATTAAGAGTCTGTTACTGCAAAAGAATTCTGTTTTCAATTTTACTTTAATGTTGTAAACTTTTTTAGATCTGTCTACTCAAAAATTTTTAAGTGGTAACATATACTTTCGCATTGAATCTCTTGACTAGGTGTACAAATAGCTTTTACTAAAATAATTTATCTCTGTAACAACAACATTTTTAAACAAAATCAATATTATTGAATCCTAAACCTCCTTTGTAAATGTTAATTAACATCTTTAAACAAAAAAATAGAATAAAAACAAGAAGAATATGGAAGAAGAGTTTATTTCTGCTGAAACAAAGTTGATGTGAAATAGTGGATGAAAATCAAACTGCAGGTAATTTTTCAACGAAGAAATACGTCTTTCCAACATAAAGCAAGGTTGATTGATAGATGAATAAACCTTTTTTTACAGCCATGCTACAGCAGTTCTTTATCGCTATGTTCATGGATACTACAAAGCCATGTCAAATTGCAACAGAACAAGTAAGGATCTCAAAAGTTTAAAACATTCATGTTTTATGATCATTTTTTGTGCAACGGGCCAAAAATATTTGTCTTTTACTTCATCATATTACTTTTTCAAACGGTAAACTAGACGATATGAACAGTACAAAATGAGTTTTGTCTATTTAATAGCAAACGTGTACGTAAGTATAAGGACATCTGGATGAATACAAACCATGAATCTCGTTTTTCATATATTATTATGTCTGACATAAAAAAGTTATCCATTCTGATGTAAGCAAAGTTTAATTTTTTTTAAGTTGCTTCTCCCCTGCCAGCGGATGGATATGTCAGAGAATGTTATGGAAAATATCTCACTGTTTTGAAAAATTTTCAAACTGTTAATTACTAGGGTGAAAGGGAAGATGCAAGTACTACTAGTTATACATCCTATCTCTTGAAATTATTCAGACAAACATTGAAAGAAATTATTTAAAGTTTTATTATATTTACATTCTTTCTTGCTTTTGACACAAGTGTTACCATCAACTAGCAGAGTATTGAGTCTTAAGCACATATTTTCGTTAATCCAACACGATTATGCTTAAAGTAACCGAATGTTTTAAAAGTTCCATCGAAAAACTTCTAATTTTTCTTGAAATAACAAGTTTTTAATGTTAATAAAAAAATAAAATATTGATCAAATAGAGCTGAAAGACATTTTACCAAATTATAATACTATGGGTGCAAAGTAAAAAGACCTCGCCAAGACAAGATCTAGACAAAACATGATTTTGATGTGTCAAGACTAAGACAGGAGACGTTTTTACAAGGGTTTTCTAGAGCAACACTCATTATTTTGATACATATTATCTTGTCCTGTCTAGTAAGCGAGAAGGAGCAATAAATTGCTTTGAACTTGAGGACAGCGACGAGAGCTGTCCATTTGGAGCATCTATATGACCACCATGTACGTGGTAGTATATCTGATGGTAGAAAACAGAGACTACAACCAATCGAAAAGTGTTGTAGTGGTCGTAGAATAGATATAGTGCTGCAGGGAACACCCGAGCTTGGTAAGTGTGAAGGGTATCCTTTGACCATGTGTCGTTTCAAGAAACGACGCGGCAAAGTACCTCTCCTCTTGTACTTGACGGAAAAAAAGCAGCAGGTTCAGATAAATTTTCCAGTAGGTAAGTATAGCAGCGTCTGCAGTAGCGAAGATAAGGAAGAATATATGTATAGGAAGAGGAGAATAAAGAGCTAATTGAACTCTTGGTTGCTGAACTGAATGCCAAACCAAGCATCTGTGCTGGTAAATGACTCTCGCATTCTTTTACTTTTTCTCTGCTCTA